TACTGTACTTCCTGGAAGTGTTGAGTTTTTTTCCTCAGTACTTGCCTGCCTCTGGATTAAAGATCAGTTTACTGCAGGGATATCTGTAGGAGTCTCTGCCCAACAGTGTCTTAAATAAGAAATGCTCATACACCAGCGCTCTCTGATACACAGTCACATGTGATGTATACTATTCTCCTGACCTTCAAGTAACATACAAATGTGTATAACAAGGTTTATAATGCACAAGGAGCCAATTTAAGAGACATCACTCCCCCGGGCTCTCTAAAGAATTTACATGTCAGCTGACCTTTTACTTCCATAGGACTGACGCTCGTTCAGGCCGCGCAGATCGAGGTGTCAATGACAAAGCACAACCATGACTTCCAGGGTTCGACCTCAGACGACACAAGGGCGTTCATGACCGTTTCTCTCTGCTCTTATCTGACTCTTGTGGGCAGCGGTGAGCTCATCCGCAAGGATTGTACTATACATTTAAAAGCTCAGGACCAGACTGTCACCAGGCAAGGACAGACAAGGAATGCAGTTTTATCACCTTAAACACACCACAAGTTCCTTTTCCTGCCCAGCGCTTCCTGTTTTTTTCACATGGCCATGTATCACCCTCGAGCTGTCACTCAAGGAGGGACGGAGACAGCTTCCTCACAGCACGAACTGACTGAACTGACTGATTCTGATTCCCTTGCTCGTGGGGTGACGGGGCCTGCTCTTTCTGACGTGGAGGTGCTCGGAAAGCGACTGCACGCCTGCATAAGGATGCAGGGGTGGGGAGTCTCCGGCACACCCCCCTGGAGAGGAGAATGTGATGCTGTGGTGCCGGAGGAGGAAGAAAATGGAGGTCACGGGAAATAAAAAATATTTTATTTATAGGCAGACCAAATCTGGTGCAGGAAGGGGAGTGAGAGGAATGACCATAAATAAGTGAAGAGCTGTCTAGCAGTCTCTAGGAATCATAGATGTAAAGACTCTACATAGACGAGATGTAATGTGAATTGTAGCCTTTATTACAGTACACCAGGGAGTAAGCTCCTCTGACCCACCCACCCTTCAGAGCTACACAGCTTTTTAAACCCTACAAGCTCTGCAGAGCCCGACAGAGACTAGAAGCAAAGGAGGAGGAGCAGACACATCTCTGACTGATGTCCCTGTCTAGCAATCATCTGTCGTTCTTACTCCCATCAACTGAGGAATCTCAGTCATAGCTGGTGGGTGACTTGACCCTGGCTCTTGTCCAAGACAGTTCCGTCTGTGCCTTTATAACTCCATACCTATCTGGAGACTTTACCTTCTTGCTGGTAAGCGATCCCATGGAAGGCGCCATTGGAATGGGTTGGATCCTCAGGTTCGACCACTCGTCATTCAGCAATTCGGTCTTCTCCTTGATCTTGCTGCGGTTGGCCATGAACTGTGACTGGGAAAGAAGTGTTCACTTTCAAGCCCAGAACAGACTTTCATGTTTAATAAAATCAAAGTGAGAAGTGTCAGACCCACTAACCTCTGCACCAGAGGATGTGACCTACACAGAGAGCAAAAGGCTTCACTGGTCATTGCCAGCAGCCATGTCACCCTGCAGCTCCCAGCTGGCAGCCCACTGGAGCTCAGCAGGTGTGAGCCTGGTCAGTACCTGGATGGGAGACCTCCTGGGAAAAGCTGAGGTTGCTACTGGAAGAGGTGTTAGTGGGACCAGTAGGGGGTACCCACCCTGCGTTCTATGCGGGTCCTAATACCCAGTATAGTAATGGGGACACTATACTGAAGTCCTGACTTCTTGTGAGAAAAGAGTAGGGGTGTTACACCGGTGTCCTGGCCACATTTCCCCCCTGGCCTTTACCAGTCATGGCCTCCTAATAATCCCCATCTCTGAACTGGCTTCCTCACTCTGCTCTCCTCCCCACTGAGAGCTGGTGTGTGGAGAGCGTACTGGTGCTCTTTGGCTGCCCTCATATCATCCAGGTGGGGGGTAATAATAATAATAATAATTATAATTGCTTACACTTATATAGCGCTTTTCTGGACACTCCACTCAAA